TTGAAAGTGGAAGTGATGTAACATTCTTTTGCTTCCGCTGTGTGATAAGACACCTAACAGGTGGGAAGCCTCACTTTCGTCATTCACTGTGCACACCACTAGTAATACAGAGTTCAGAGGACAAACTGTTGGTGTTCGCTTAGCTGGTGCCTCTGTGATGGGACTGAGATTGAGCTCTGCAGTCACTTTTGCAGCAGCGGTTTTCTTATTCCGGGTCACAATCCTGCGCAATGTCCTTTTGTCTCTTTCAGTCAGTTGACCATGTCGGACGCGCTTATGCTTCTCAGACGACGTTTTCCTGGAAGCCGTATATGCCGTCATAACCTTTGATGACGTATCTCGCAACATGGAAAATAAATTGCCAACTTCAGTCACAGAGGCACCAGCTAAGCGGCACCAACAATTTGCCCTCTTTGAAGCTCAGTAAGCTCTGACATGACTCCGTATTACTAGCAGCACACGCAGTGAATGATGAAAGTGAGGCTTCCCACCCGTTAGCTAGGTGTCTCATCACACAGCAGAAGCAATAGAATGTTACATCACTTTCGCTTTTTCAACGCAAAACATGTCACTTTCACACCTGCAAAGCATGTAAGGTTTCCATTATTTTGTCCAACCCCTGTAAATTAACAAAGCTCAACAGGTCATTGATCTGCAATTGAGGACCTTAAATATTCCTGAAAATGTGCACAAAAACAATATTAAGCCAAATTTCTGGAAATGTTGGGTTGCTAATAATTGATTTGTATTATAGTCCAGTAATTAGAACATCTACCAAAAAATACAAACAACAATTCTTGGTGCATTGTACAGCAGAGGACAAAGAACAAAACTGGAGCAGTCAGATGAATCAGATAAAAAACACAGAAAGCAGCAGCTTCTAAATTACATTCCTAGAAATGCGCAGGCAAAAGAGATTGTTTAGATTTGACTGACGCTGCACAGATCCCAGGAGTCGGGCAGGCAACGGAACTTAAAAAAGAGTTTTTTTCTATAGGCAATTTAAAAGGAGACGGGAACAAGGGCTTTCACGAATGAAGGAAATACTGTCGACTAGATTGAGCTTACTGGCTGCTGATTTATGAACATTGTATGAATCTGGGTTAGAATTCTCGAACATCAATTTATCAAAGAATCTAATCAGATACAGTGTTACATTTTCCCATTGACTGGAAAATGAAATCTGGCTTGGTGTCACAGGCAGCTGCCACACATCTGCTCCTTTTTTTTTTAAGCAAGGGAACATAGGATATTATGCCATAATAATCAGTCCGTAGAAATGGATCCCTTCTTATAAGGAATCCAATCACCCTATAATGAATGTTTTACATTATGGGGCAGCAGTGAAAACAGCAACATTTTCAGAAGAAAATATTTCAAGCACAAACTTGTAATTGTAGGTTATAGGCTTCTCCCAGCCTAACTGAAAAATTGTCATTTTTACAAATTCAGGCTGCATGTATGATATAGTGGAATCTTTTTTTCAACCAGTATTCCATGGCGGTTCCTCCAGAGGTTACATGGGAAAACAGCAATGGCAGTTCTACTGCCTACACGGAGCACCAATGTAAGGGGTCACCAGTTTTTAATGGCTGTGGATTTTTGACCATTTATTTCATTATTATTGATTTACTTTCATGATTATTAATTAAAAGATATTCTTACATTTTAAACACTCAACAACTTACTAATCAAGCTGATATACCATGATCTGTAGGTGTAATATTGGTGAAGGTTCCCCGAGACCTGAAAACCGCTTAAAAAGTGGAAGGCGAGTCAAAACCTAACTAAGCGTAACATTTATTCCTACCCAATTCTGAGCCTATTCTATCTACCCTGTAAAAGAAAAATTCCTATACTTACCTATTCTGAAGTCACTCCAGTTCAGTCACATGATTGGGTCCCAGCGCCAGCTTCTGTGTAGGAGGGGAAAAGCAAACAACGAATGCCCCATAGAAAGCCTAGTGGTGACGTCATCGTGCAGGCTCTGCAGCCATTGTTGGCCATCACTTCTCTTCACTGAAGCTGGCTATTGGAGAGATCATGTGACCTGGACTGGAGCAACATTAGAATAGGCAAGTATAGACATCTTTCCTTTTACAGGGTAGATAGAATCGGCTTAGAATGGGGGTGAGAGTGGATTTAAGCTTAGATTTTCACTTGCCTTCCACTTTAAGGCTTCCTCCATAATTGAGAGAGGCTTGTGTAGTGTTAAACTACAAGGTTTAAATACACTTTTATGTATTGTGCATTACATGCACTCATATGTTTATAGATATTGTATTACCGCTTCAAATGACTAATTGTGGTTTTTTTCTCAATTGTTTATTAAATATATGTAAGCACTTTTAGGTATGTGCGTTTGTGTGCATGTACTTACATTTTTTTATTTTTCACTTGGTGTTCCATGTGTTTTATTTCATCTATGAATTAATTTAGTGCCACATTGTAAAAGTCCTTGTTCTGGGTAACCTTACACTTTGCTTTCCCCAGAGTTCAGTTTAAGGGCTCATAGTCCAAAGCATGGATTGATCTGAATGTCTTCTGTATTTAACTCTTCTTCAGCACAGACATATTTCCACACAGAACATTATCTCTATTGTGCACATAGGTGTAAAAATGCATCCTGTACAGCTGTTGCTAAACAGATTTACCTTGAAGCATTTCCATGTAAGCCTGGGTTCACACTTGTGTGGTGCGGCTTATCGCGTGTGATTTGCACAGGAACCGCACCGCATTCCTGTGCAAATCACATGCGAATTCTAAGCAGTGTGATTTGAGCCATACATTTTGTAAGGCTCAAATCGCACCGCATCCACACCAAAAAGGTGCAGGACCCTTTTTTTTGGTCTGCACTAGAATTGGATTGCATGAGTGTTCACACCCATGCGATCTGATTCTGCACATCGCACCGCATTTTGTGGACCGACGTCGGGGTGTTAACATACACACCCGCAACAGTTCGCATGAACGGGTATGATTGTGATGCGGTGCAGAATTCGCACTGAAACCGCTGTGAATTCCAGACCACATCAGTGTGAACCCAGGCTAAAATGTTAATGAATGCTGCAATTGTTACAGTATAGAGATGCCTTTTATATATTAACTGAAGGCTAACCGTTACTTGGACCCCATCAGTTAAACATTTTTAAGGTCCAAGAAAGGGGATCAACTACTAAGAGGACCCACAATTGGCAGCAGAATCGCACTGGATTGTACAAACAGTTCAATGAAATTTGTAACAGCAGCATATCTGCTCTCCGAATTGTCTCTACGATATTCGTACCATGATGAGAACTCTATGATCCTAGGACCATTAGTGACAATGTGCTTCAGATTTCCAAAAGCAACCAGTAAGGGCTGCAGCCTTAACCTTCCCCAGCTATGATTCTGTGTGCAAATGAATCCTCAGCAACACACAATTCCATAACCAGAATTCACTCGCACATAAAATGGAATAATTGCAGCCATAATAGATCATAAGTGAGGTATCCATAATTGAGGTCCAAATAAATTTAGGACATTTTTGATACAAGAATGTGAAACCTTCACTATAGCTTTGAAAGAGACACACAAATGAAGTTACATCGTTCGAGTCTCTGATATAAAAAACTGGTGATTGATTCCATTCACCAGTGACCATCGATATCTATGTTTGGTGGAGGTGAGATCTAAAATATTGGTGATTGCTCAGAAGCAGAGGGAGGTAGGTTGTGCTATATGAGTTTGCTGCATGATGTGCCTATCTCAAATTACCCACACACCACCAGGGAGATAGAAAACTGCACCAGACAAAGAAAGAAGGGTGATTTGTAGTAGCTAATAACACAAAAACCTGAATCCAGCAGGAACCGCCATAATTAATTTCAACAATTAAAGTGTTACTAAACCCAGGACCCTGCATTCACTATATCTGGTCTCCTACAGTATACACAAAATGGAAGTGCAATCATTTTAGTAAATATAAACTGCTAAATACCTTTTCTCATCAGCAGTTAGAGCAGTCTTGTGACTTTTATTAGTGTCCAGCTGAGCACTGGTTAAAGCTTGCAGGAGGAGTTTTCATTTTCCTCTGACTATCCTATAAGGCTACATGACCCCTGACCCTCAGTCTGGACAGCGTGGATTGGCCCTGTGATGATCACATGCACTCTCCCAAAAAAAGAAAAAAACTCTCTAGCACTACATACCAAACTGAGCACATGACTCAGCAACTGAGCAGAGTGACTCCTAGAGCTCTGTACCATCAGCAAATGTATTGGGGACTGTAGAAGAAAGGGAGGATCAGAGAAGACAGGATCAAACAGTCTTTTTACACAATACGGAAGATTAACCCCTTAGATTCCACAGTGAGTATAACAAGCATGCTTTACTGCATATACAGACTGATTATTTTGTTGTGGGTTTAGTAACACTTTAAATCTCTAGGCAAAGTAGAAACATCAGTAGCCTTTTTTAAACCTTTTCTATACAAAGCAAATTGGTATGTCTATTGATACAAAGCAGTTATAAAATAGGATCCTATGTCAGACCATACAGTGTTTTCATTTGGAAATCTGCTCAACGTTACTCTACATAAAAGTATTAGATATTTCTCTTAAGACAGATCCGAGCATCACTAGACGACTTCTCAGAAGCGCCTCCAGTGTATCGAAGACATTCAAGTATGTACATGATTTGACAAGGAAGATTATGGTCATATAAGCTTTGAAATGATCCTTCCAGTGTAGTTTCAAGTAGTTCTTATATACTCAGTAGGCATAGTTAAAATCCACAGGCAAATGATAAAAATGGAAAAGTTCCATACATTTTAAAAAAAATGCAAGTTCCTGTTAATAGTTGACCTACTTTTGTGGAAAAGCGATATTCACAGAAATACTGATCATTAGAGTTAGTGAATATTTCGTGTCTTGCTGCTTTTTCTTTTTCTAAAATTAGTTTCAGTAGTTCTACAGGAAATGTAAACCATCGATCAGTCCAAGATAAAAGCAGATATTCACCTACATACGAAAGCTGCGGGTCCTCTGAAATGACTGGAATGGTCTCTTAAGAGCCAAAAAAGACAGCTGAGACTTTAGGGTAGGTCGCTCAGGAAATATCGCTGCTTCGCTTTCTGGTGTGGGGAGCCGTTCCTTGTAAACTTGTGGGTGAGACCTTTGAAACTGAAGAGGAACAATTGGTTCAATAAGCAGATAATATACTGATAGGGGTTTATCTAGATAATTTGATAAGGAACATATTTATATGTGAACTGAACTCCAATGAAAACATAAAATCCTCATTTAGGTTTAGGGGACCAGAAAAGGCACATTTTTCATTTTTATACTTTTTTTATACATACTCAAGCACATACTTATGCAATTCCTGCAGGTTTTTCTCTGCAATGCTAGACCAGTGCCTATTTGCTCAATCGGTCGAAGGTCGTCTGACAGCAAGTGCAATACAGTTTCCATAGCCCTGCATTGGACATGAGGACACCTAAGGACAGTCCACTGCCAGGCATAGGGAAGCTAGGATCAGGTAAGTAAAAGGTAAGTAACATTGCCTTTTATGGTCCCTTGGTGCAGTGCGGAGACAACCCCACTTCAAAAAAGGACTTTTGTTTTCCCCAGAGAGCGGTTTTAAAGTACAACTAAAAGCTTCTCTTTGACAGTCTAAAGGAGTGACAAATACATTTTCTGTACAGCACTCAGTCTTTATAAAATCAAACAAAAATCTGCCTTTGTGAATATAAATGTGGAGCTGCTTGTTGGTAAGCTTAAAAAACCTAAACACATACAAACAATATATACTGCGCTCCTTAAATACTGTGAATAACTATGGTGATACTATAAATAAGTGCAAATTATTGCCTCTACAAATCATTTGCAAAATAAGTAACAAAGTGAATTAGTGGTGCACCAAAATGAAAATTCTGGTGCCAAAACCGAAAATCAAAAGAAAGGAAGGATCAGAGAAGACAGGATCAAACAGTCTTTTTACACAATACGGAAGATTAACCCCTTAGATTCCACAGTGAGTATAACAAGCATGCTTTACTGCATATACAGACTGATTATTTTGTTGTGGGTTTAGTAACACTTTAAATCTCTAGGCAAAATGCACTTCGCCGAACACTGAAACCAAAATGCGCAGTTATTAAAAATGAATAAAAAATACACTTTGATTAAAAAAAACAATATATCCCATTTTGTTTTTAAAATATGAAAGAGAATGTTATGGCGAGTAAATAGATACCCAACATGTCACTCTTTAAGTTTGTGCACGCTCGTGGAATGGCGTGAAACTGCGTACTTAAAAATCTCCATGGGTGATGCTTTAAAAATTTCTACAGGTTAGCAGTGTAAAGTTACAGAGGAGGTCTAGTGCTAGAATTATTGCTCTTGCTCAAAGCCCAGAGGAAGTCACGAGTAATAGTGACGTAACGCGTAGGCACGCCAGTACGCCGAACTTCCGGTACGCGGTGACGCACTTCCGGTGCCAACCGCCATCTTGGTATACCCAGGAAGTCCTTCTAATTACATGCAGTACACCCACATGTCAAGAGGAATGGAAAAACATGTGAGTGGCTATATGTTTGTTTAAAACATTGTCATTAAAGTGTCGTTTGGCTTTGAAAAATACTGCACTTAGAGGATCTCTTTCTTTCTTGCTCACTGGATGGTGAGTAATTATCCTATAGAAGCTTCTGAGTGGGGGTAATGGGAATACCCTCAAAGTGATCCAGGACGGCAGGAGAAGTGCTGATCTCCAGGAGATAAGGATCCAGAGAGATCCTGAATGCTGTGTGGCCCTTAGGGGTCGATGTAAGGAGGTGAGGAGGCAATTTAGCCGTAGGAGGGGAAGATTTGCACTACTGTGGAACAAGGACACATTTGCTTTGCACAATTTTTAGCATATTTTTGCACTTTTTTCACTTTGCATGTGTTTGCCACTATTTTTCATGGACAATTTTTTTTTGCTTGATTTTTTGATGATATATCTGATTGAATGTGGTTACATTACCACACTTGGAGCACTTTATAAATTATTTATAATTATTTTTAGTTAAGATTTTTTCTATATGTGTTTTTTTATATTTATGCGTTTGATATTTATGCATTTTTTATCACGTGTTTTTCATATATCTATATGATTATGGACACCTTAGATCATCATTAAGTGGCACTTGATATTTAGGTTATTTCACTATATGTGTGTCACCATTACATGTGAGCACAGTTATTTGTGTATATAGGTTAGTTTTTTGAGCGCTGCACTATTTATGTAATTTATTGCTCTTGCTCAGACGTTCGTGGTGATACCTCACGTGTGTGGTTTGAACACCACTTACACATGTGGGCATGGCCTACGTATGTGTTCACCACTATGTGCGAGCACGAAGGGGGGCACATTAAACTTTTTTTTTTAATTAAAATTTTTTTTTTTTTTTTTTTTTGCACTGTCCCTTCAAAAAAAACAAAAAATGTAAATCACTTTTATTCTTATCACAACAAATGCATGCATCCCTTGTGAAAGAAATAATTAGTGACAGGTCCTCTTTATGGAGAGATATGGGGTCAATAAGACCCCACATTTCTCCTCTGCAATGTTAAGTATTGGATCAAAAAAAAAAAAGCATTGATCTAGTGCTTTAAAAAAAAAAAAAAAAAAAAATGGCCGGAGCGGGAAGGGGCATCGCTCTGATACAGATGAGTGGCAGCCATCTTTCCTTCACTCATCTCTATGCCCAGCGCCGGGATCGATGGTTTCTCAGGTAAAGCTGAGATCTACCAAGCGGCAGCCGGTCACGGCAGTGGCGAGGTATTTTCAGCACCTGTATCGGTGATTTTTCTCATTTCGGCCAAAACGTTTCGGTCACCGAAATTTCAATGCATCCCTAATGTGAATGCTTCCATATAATTATGAACAAAAGTTCATTTTTCTATAAAGCTTCATATCCGACTTCCATGTTCCCACTGTGCAAAGATAAGACACCCAAGAAATAAGTGCCCTCCTCTCTTTGCAAAATTCCATCATGGGGTTGCAGCTTTCGCGATACATCACTTCCAGTTGTTGGAACACACACCAGCGTTCCTTTCTGGTGATATATATGCCTGAGTGATTGTAACTGATGTAAGCACAATTTTATAGTGGTTTTATAATAGATAACCTTTACTACACTATAAGGAGGTCCTCTCTCACTTTGCCTCTGTCAGGAAGATTTTTTATTCAGAGGTTCTCGCTGCATAATACCTTCGGGAACATCTGATGTGGTCCGTATATGCAAGTCAGCCAAAACGGGAAGATAAGATCTAATTTGTGATATTTCAAGTATTTATGACCTTCTTTGAGAGAAGAGGTGATATATTTCTGGTGAGTGCGGTGTGTTTCCCTTCTTGGAAAGAGAGGAAAAGCACTTATTTCTTGGGTGTCTTTAGCTCTGCACACTGGGAAAATGAAAGTCGGATATGAAGCTATATAGAAAAGTGGACTTTTGTTCATAATTATATGGAAGCATTCACATTGTTACTTAATTTGCACATGATTTGTAGAGGCAATCATATGCACTTATTTATAGTATCACCATAATGATTCACAGTATTTAAGGAGCGCGGTATATATTGTTAGTATGTCTTTGGGCTTTTTAAGCTTACCAACAAGCAGCTCCACATTTATATTCACATTTATTTTTTATAGATATTTATTAAAAATCTACCTTTACATTTCCTGACTGAGCCAAATCCTCTTTCAGTATCTCACACACCCGTCCAAGACACTGCAGCTCACAGTGGGAGGGTTTCAGCAACAGAGGCAGTGCTGTCAATCCAGAAAGCAGTGGGCAGGGCTGGGTGTGCCCATCGGCTGATTGAGAAGCTGCTTAACGTGAAGTAGTAATTGTTAATAGCCATGCCCATTATTTCATCCAACCATACTGCAAGCAGGCACAGCCCACATGAATTCAGGAGCATTTCAACATTATTGCCACCCCATCACACTGGTAGAATCAGCAGATATTTGTAAGACTACAGGGGATGAAGAAAAAAAATGTAAAGATACACTAAACTAGGTCCTGTAGCACATAATTCTACTTTAACCCCTTTGCTGCCACTGACATAAAAACGTATGTTAGCAGCAGCAGAGGCATTTGTGTGCACTATTGGCTGTTTATTCTATTCAGACGCTGGTTCTACTAGACACATCCTAGAGCTTCAGATATCAATTCTGAATTTGGCACGGCCGTATGTGGCTCTGCCTTCAGCCATGTCATCCATTCACAAAGATCTTTGAATAGAAAGACTACAAGCCCCATCTGTCACCATTGCAAAGGAAAAAAGGGCAGCACAGTGGCTAAGTGGTTAGCACTCCCGCCTAGCAGTACAAGGGTTATCAGTTTGAATCCAGCCATGACACTACCTTCACTGGATTTTTCACTGGATACTTCAGTTTCCTCTCACTCCAAAGACATGCTGGTAGGTCAATTGGCTCCTGTCTACACTGACCATAGTGTATGTATGTATGTATGTATGTATGTACGTACGTATGTATGTATGTATGTGAGTTAGCAACCTCAGATTATAAGCTTCTTGAGGGCAGGGACTGATGTGTAAAAAAAAAAAAAAAAAAAAATATTATATATATATATATATATATATATATATATATATACATATATACATACATACATATATATATACAGTAGCAAGAAAAAGTATGTGAACCCCTTGGGATTACGTGGAGTTTTGCATGAATTGGGCATAAAATGTGCTCTGAAACGTCATCTAAGTCACAACAATAGAAGAACACAGTCTGCTGAACATAATACTACACAAACATTAGATGTTGCCATGGTTTAATTGCACATAACATGTAAACATTCACAGTGCAGGGAGGAAAAAGTATGTGAACCTTTGGACTTAATAACTGGTTGACCCTCCTTTGGCAGCAATAACCTCAACCAAACGTTTCCTGTAGTTGCAGATCAGACCTGCACAACGATCTGGAGTCATTTTGGACCACTCCCCTTCACAAAACTGTTTCAGTGTAGCAATATTCTTGGGATGTCTGGTGTGAATCACTCTCTTAAGGTCATGCCACAGCATTTCAATTGGGTTGAGGTCAGGACTCTGACTGGGCCACTCCAGAAGGCGTATTCTGTGCTGTTGCAGCAGCATTGTTTTGT